GGGAGGGAGGGAGGGGGGAAGAAGGGGGGGAAGGAAGGAGGGAAGGAAGGAGAGAAGAAAGGAGGGAGGGAAGGGGGAAGGAGGGAGGGAAGGAAGGAAGGAGGGAAGGAGAGAAGAAAGGAGGGAGGGAAGGGGGAAGGAGGGAGGGAAGGAAGGAGGGAAGGAAGGAGAGAAGAAAGGAGGGAGGGAAGGGGGAAGGAAAGGAAGGATGGAAGGCTGAGTCGACCTTGAGCTGGTGAGATTAGAACCGCTGAACTGCAGATCAGTCAGCTAAAGTGGCCTGCAGTACTGCACCCTAACCACTGCGCCACCTCGGCTTCTTACATTCTGGTTAAGCCAGGTGTAAACCCAGGGCCAACACTAAACCTCAGGAGAAGGCCTGCACGTTTTGTAGATGGAATGGGCCACACTGATGGCAGCAATAGAGTTGGCAACTCTGGTTAAGTCTGGAGACATGTGACAGTCTTAGCAGCCTGTTTCAGGAGAGCAGGGCAGAGACTGCCTGGTAACATTTGGAAGCAATGAATTTACGGATATGTTTAAAAATGCCAGTGGGCCACACAAGGCCTCCCGTTGTACAGGCCTACTCTACAGTTTAAAAGAAAACATGGCCCGGATTTAAGAAAAGAGGTTTGGTATGACGTATTAGGGAAAAATGAGAGGCTTTAGGGAACAAAAATAATAAACGTGTTGCGATGAAGAGAGAAATTGAAAGTTAAAATCTTTACCTCTAAAGTAGATGCCAGGATTTTATCAAAGTCTGGAAGGTGCTTCATGACTTCCAAATATATTTCTCTTGCGTCTAAGGAGTTCACATGCTGAAAAGGGTGGAAATCATTATATAAATGTTATTCAGCTGTACAGTGGAGATTTTATTTACCATAATTTAATTGTTTGGAATAATGTTTCAGTAATTTTTAATGCATTTCAACGAGCCATTTCTGCACTCTCTTGAATACACAAGATGAAGAAAAAAATGTAATAGTAAGAATAAAAAAAAATCCTATCAAAATGTCAGAATACAGAAAAAGAATTCCAGAGAGGGAAAAATGATTAATTTTCAGAAGTGGTCTCCCTCCTAGGGCTGAGAGAAACTGACTGGTCCAATATCACCCAATTGATTTTATGCCTAATCAGGACTAAAACTCAAGGTCTCCTGCTTTCTAACCTGATGCTAGAAACCACTACGTCAAATTTACTCACTATCTACCAATATTAATTATTCTAAATATTATTTTGTCTAACATTAGAAATAGAATACAATAAATAAAATACTAGAATAAAGTGGTATTGTTAAGCCTTGGGCAATTCAGTATCTTCAGGACAATTAACTGCCAGAATGCTTACATGATATAAGACAGCAGAATTAGTACAGGTATATGTTCTCTAAAGATATAATAGCAATGAGCAAAGTTTTTATAAAACTTCCTGCGTGTGTGTGTGTGTGTGTTTAATTTGTGCTGATAAATAAATAAAGGGAGACTAGTATAGATTTATTTATCAGCACAAAAAAAAACCACAAATATAACAAAGGCAACAGTAAAAATATTGGGTTTCTGTCNTTCCTTCCTTCCTCCTCTCCTTTCCCTTCTCTCCTTCCCCTTCCTCCCCTCTACCCTTCCCCTCTTCTTCCCTTTCCTCCCCTCCCTGTCTCGGAGTTTTTAATTGGAGTTGGGTTCTTCTGGAACGCTGGCATCAAGTCAGTTGTGACTCCTCGCGAATACCTAGATATATATTCTTGCAGTTTTTATGAGAAGATTTTCAGAAGTGTCCTGCCATTGCCTTTTCCTTACAGCTGAGAGAGAATACCTTGCCCAAGATTGCCCAGCTGTCTTTACATTAAAAGTGGGACTAGAACTCACAGTGTCCTTGATTCGACCTTGGTTACTCAACTACCGCACAAAACTGGCTCTTCATGAAATACTTACAGGTGCAAAAAAATCAACAAGCCATGGTTCTTTCTCCTTGCCAGGAAAATTTTGAGGTCCAAGTGTAATGACGTGGGAATTCACGCTCTCCTTGGCAAAGGCCACTAAATCATACAGAACATTTTTCCCTTTAAAAGGAAACAAAAACAGAGATGTGGTGTAGACAGCCACCTACTGTTTGTTCAGCAAACGACAGGGAAAAGACAGATGAAGATGAGAAAGACAGCTTGAAGTAAAAGAAAAAGAACATGTGTTCTGAGGAAAGTTAATCAAGTTTGCAAGATTTTCCCAAAATGAAGTTTAAGATTTTTTTTAAAAAAAGTCATAATAAATATAGCACTCCTAATGAAAGAAAGCACATGAATGCTACAAGTCAATCTGTCTAACAGATCATATGTTTTAGAGTGCAACTCTTATCATCAATAAAAAAACAGTATCTCCAACAGAGAGTTAGTTAAGGAAAGCTACAATAGATGAATGATTCAGTATTGTGAGAAAGCTTCTTTCAATCACCCTGATCTTAATTCCAACATTATTATGGAATAATCATCCCTGAATTCTACAGCATCCTATTTTTTTTTTTTAACTTAAAATATCAAAAATAAAATGAATTCTCTTTCTGGTGAACTGAGAGCAAAATTTGGGCTCAGAAAACTCCAGTACAGGGACAAACTAGGCACTGTGTTAAATTGATCAGAACCAAATCAATTTATGATGAATCTAAGGAACACCTATTAAATGGTATCCCACCTTCCACCAAATGAAAAACAGTCCTAGAAAGCTATAATCTTGAGCAGGGGGCATTTTCTCATTCAAAGGGCCACACATACCTCAAATTACTGTTTCCATGAAAATAAGCAGGGACGTGCAGTCAGGGGAGGCAGAGCCTCACCACTGTCATCATGAAAAGAAAAAAAAAATGTAAAAAGAAAAAGGCAAGAGCTGAGGTCAGGCTGGGCTAGTTGCTGCCAGGGTCACAGTGGATGACTCTGCTTAGTGCTTAACTGTTTAAAAAAGCCTCTAAAAAAGTGCCCGCTATAGGAGGCGGCAGAAGAACCACGTGTCTCATCTAGCCTGACTTTATGATCACTGGAGCAGAGCTAAGCAAGGGTTAAAAGCCGAAAAATTCCTGACACAGATGAGGCACGTCGTTCTTAAATCGGAACTGAGCATGCCTGGCTATGGAATTCTGGGAGTTGAAGTCCACAACTCTAAAAAAATTTGAAACACCTGTGTCAGTGCCTCACCAGCCATAAACCTCACCGCACTTCACTGAAAATAAGACAGGCTGTTTATATTCTTTTGACCCCCACAATAAGGGCTTGGCTTTATTTTCGCGGAGATCTTATTATTTTTGAGGTGCAGGAGGCAGTGAGCGTGGTCACCTCATGGCTGCTGTGTTGCAATATTTTCGGTGAGGGCTTATTTTGGGGGGAGGGTTTATTTTAGCACATGCACTCAAAAGCCCCAATTGGCTTATTATACGGGGAGGTCTTATTTTCAGGGAAACAGGGTATTTTCCAAGCTATATTAAAGCAAGCATTTTAGAGGATGACAGCAAAGGAGGAAGGAGACAATTCAGAATGGAGAAATCACCAATACAGAAACAGCTGAAAACTCTCCTAGACATTTCTTTGCTTAACAATAGCAATATAGATGAATGTTTTAAATATGACATTTGGTTCAGGCAGATTTTTACTTTTCCATGGTGGTTAGAGTGGGCAAACCTTTTGTTTTGGAAGGCATTTTTCTTTTCTATATATCACATTTTAATATCAGAACAGAAAGACCAAAATTGTTGGCCCCTTTTCCAAGTATATGTATGTGTGGGGCTGCGTCATTCGCTAGTAACGAATAAATCTGAGGTTTGGGGCTGTGGCTAAGGGGTGCAACCTTTGTGACTCCAGAATTCTGAAAATGAAAAAAAAAAANCATATTGCCTCCAACAATCTGGGTCCTCATTTTACCGACCTCAGAAACATGGAAGGCTGAGTCCAACCTTGAATTGGCCAAGATCGAACTCCTGGCAGTGGGCACAGTTAGCCTACAACACTGCATTCTAACTACTGCGCCACCAGGGCTCCAATTGATACCCTGCAGGTATCATGGATAAGAAATCTGAGCAGTCCAGGGAGCAAGATCATGGACAATGCTGATAGAGATGATGGTAGTTTAGAACAACATATTTCAAAGGTGCTGGATTGGATAAGGCTGACATAAAGTACAGGTGTTCTCCAATACACAAAACTTAATGCCAGCAATAGCCAAACACTTAAAATTAACAAGTACCACCTGAGCATAAGCAAAATCTAGGAAGAAAAAAAATACTAAGGTATTTATTCCTTTATCACCTCCACCACCACCAACTACTCAGCGTAGACAAAGGCAAACCAATGGTAAAACTCATACCAAAACACCTCCTTTCTCTTTATTAGTTAAGGTGGCTCCAGGTGGAAAATACGCTGTTGTGCTAGATGAGATATCCAAACTATCACAAAGCTCACCCTGGGTGGCACAGTCCATCCAGCCTACTTTAACCAGGCCTTCCTGTATTGAAAAACATGAGAAAAATGAAAAACTGAAATCTAGCAGAGAGACATCACACATCTATTTGAATGGCAGGCATACTTTGCCGTTCAGTTTATGCTTCGTTCACAAAACAATTCCATCCCAGGGAGGAGGTAGAAATAATGGCCAATGCAAAGTTAAATCGAGGTGAGATAGAGGACTCTAGTATGTATTTTGCTCTCTCCCACTGAAGTCAGTGGGATGAAGTGCTTTCCTTTGGGCCAAATTTTACCAACGTATTTAATATTCTTTAAAAACAAAACAAAAGACCAATGCTTACCAACATGCCAGCCAGTTTACGGCGTGTTCGAGAAGTCAAACAATCTAGACAAATTACATTAAAGGAGTAAAAATCAGTCACATTTAAAGACATTAAAAAACACCGCGCTGCAGTTTGAAACTTGTGCGCGGTGTTTCCTTGTTACCTGCGTGGCCGCGCAGGCGCGCAGCTTAGAGGGAACATTGCTTAGGAATGGGGTGAGGTCCACGGTAGACAGTTTACAGTTGAAGCTGTGAGGGTTTGAGGATGAAACAACTGAGACAGGTAGAGCATTCCAGACATTGACCATTCAGTTGCTGAAGTTGCATTTTCTGCAATTGAGTTTGGAGAGGTTTACCTTAAGTTTCTATCTATTTTTTGCCTGAGTTTTTCCCAGTTAGTGCTGGCTGGGGAATTCTGGGAGTTGAAATGCACACATTTGATTTACATATTTACATGTATGTTCAAATACCATTACACAGCTAACTAGTTTTCGGGGAAAACTATTAAGGTAAATTCTCAGCACAAAGAGATTATACAATACTGTGTTTCCCCGAAATATGACATGTGCTGATAATAAGGCCATGCTACATTTTTGGGTGGATAAAAATGTAAGCCCTCCCCCCAAAATAAGCCCCCTGGACAACCCCTCTCCTCCAGCCAGGCAGAGAGTAGTTCACCGACCTAGTGGTATCCCGAAGGCGCCAAGCTGCGGGAACGAAGTGGGGGCAAAGACTTGCATTGCTTGCTGCCTTCGGGATACTGCTAGGTCGGTGAGCGGTGCTCTGCCCAGCTGGAGAGGGGGGTTGCCGGGCAGCTGTTCTCTTGCGAGCTGGCTCCCGAAGAGCCAGGCACAGCCTCAAGGTCAAACGGTTGTGTTGCTCTGTCGCAGCAGCACCGCACAGCAGCCATGAGGTGAACACGCTCATGAGCAGCTGCCTGGCAACTCCCCCCTTTCCAGCCAGGCACAGTGCTATTCACTGACCTAAGGGTGTCGCCAAGCCACAAGAGGGCCCGTTCACAGCCCTCCAGCTCCTGCAGCTTGGCGCCCTCGGAATGCCCCTAGGGTAGTGAATGGGGCTGTGCATGGCTGGAGAGGGGGGGTTGCGCGAGCGGCTTTTCCACTCCCCACTCGCGCTATTTCCAGGCTCATGATGCCTTTGCCTAACTCTCCTTGGAGAACCAGGGCATCTCTGTTGCTGCTGCTGCCGCCAGCACCACATGGTTTTTTCTGCGAAGCACGAAGGTAGGATGCCGAGTCTTCCGGCAGTTGCCACTCTAGAAGTACGCTCTATGATTGTGGGCTTGCTGCCGGCAGAGTGTCCTACCATAGAGCGTACTCCCAGAGCGGCAACTGCCGGAAGACTCACATCCTACCTCCGTGCTTTGGAAGTCGCAGAAAATGCCATGCAGCGCTGATGGTAGTGGCGGCAGCAGAGATGCCCTGGTTCTGCAGGGAGAGTTAGGCAAAGGCATTTTGAGCCTGGGAGTTGCGTGAATGGGGAACGGAAAAGCCGCTCGTGCAACCCCCCTCCCCAGCCATGCAGAGCCCCATTCACTGACCTAGAGGCATTCCGAAGGCGCCAAGCTGCGGGAGCTGGAGGGCTGCGAACGGGTGCTCTCGTGGCTTGCCAACACCCCTAGGTCAGAGAATGGCGTTGTGCCCGGCTGGAAAGGGGGTTGCTGGATGGCTGCTCATGAGCGTGGTCACGTCATGGCTGCTATGTAGTGCTGCTGCGACAGCGCAACACAGTCGTTCAAGCCTGAGGCTGTGCCTGGCTCTTCGGGAGCCCACTTGCAAGAGAGCAGCTGCCTGGCTACCTCAAAACAATAAGCCCTCCCCTGATAATAAGATCCAAGCCATATTTTGTGGGCCAAAAGAAAATAAGACCCTGTCTTATTTTCGGGGAAACACGGTACTTGGCATTGAATCCTATGAAAAATAAGGAAAATCACTTAATGTGTCTCAACTGAAATACAGAACATACTAAATCAAGACAGTAAAGCATATAAACCATTTTCTATCTATCTACTGTACTCCTATTTTTCTTACTTAATATTTCACCCACACACATCGACACACACCCCACCCAAAGCTTTGCAGGGAAGCATGAGAGCCTGAAATTTCATGTTTGATTCCCTGTTTTGGTTTGCTTCTGCCCAATCAGGGAAGGAGGAAGAGCTGATAGCAATAGCAATGGCACTTTGACTTATATACTGCTTCGTAGTGCTTTTACTGCCCTCTCTAAGTGGTTTATAGAGTCAGCCGATTGCTCCCAACAATCTGGGTCCTCCATCCCTCTGAAAAAAATAGATTTACAATCATAGAGAAGGTATAAAATTAACAAGAAAGGGCAAAGAAAATAGTAATGCAGAGATGATATTTTAAAAATAGCTTTTTAAAAGACCTGTTAAAAAAAGCAAAACCAATTCTTGCAGGGTTATATTATCTAATTACAGAATGCTGCCTCTTGAAGTTCAAAATATATTAATGAAAACAAATTAAAACATTCCTATCCTAGAAGCAATTCTAAATATATTCCTGCTTAGTTTCAACTTTAAAGTTTTTATGGCTGTTAGAAGAATTAAAATCTCTCATTCATTCTTTGATAAGCAAATATATATTCACCTCCTTGTCCAGTGCAAAAGGTAATTAACCAGCCAATACCAGAAGCAAATGCAGTTTCAACAGTGTTAACAAAATTTCCTAGGGGAAAAAAAAAGAGCAAAATGGATTTAGGAATTTGCATCTATTGCTTTACTTATTGATAAGGCTTATGTAGTATGATTTAACTGTAACACAACTTTAAGATCACATGTTTTATAATTTATGAAAGAAACATATTTATCTAAAATATCATCACCTATATTTCATCCAATAGTGAACTATTTATTTGTTTAACATCTACTCACTGTCCCAGACTCTGCTTTGAGTGATCTAACATAATAAACACTAAAAGAAAAACATGTGCAATTTGAAAATAAATACTTATTTGAAAATAAATAAATGTTTACCTGCCCATAGTTCTGTCACCGTGCTTTTGACATACTGCATGGCAAAATTTGTTAAACTCTCCTGTGATCTGTCACCATAAAATTTCACTGGATTCTAAAAAAGATTTGGAAAAGCATCCAATTTTAAAACAGTGACTGTTATAAAACAGTCACATATGTGAACCATTATTATTCTTGGGAACTTATTTATATCCTCGATCTTTGCTACAGAAATTTCTTTTTTGACTTTGGAAGGGGAATCTGGAATAGAAACTGGAATACATAACATTATTACCTTAGCGATGCTACAGTTCTTCTCCTAGTTGAAACACAAAATATGTTCTACAAAATATAAACAGCTGCGCCTAAGCAGAACAAAGCAACGACCTGTGCTATATTATGTCCATCTAGCCTTTACAGATTTGATGCATTCTTTGAGCTTGGAAAAATTCAGGGTTTAAACTGCTTAAGGGTTTTGGATTATGTAGGGCCTTTTCTTATCTCTGCTCAATAGAAGCAAGGAGAATCCTTCTTATCTCTGCTCAACAGAAAGGTTAGGGACAAACACTGTAAAAAACAATTGGGGAGCAGGATACCTTGTACCTCTTTTCAGTATCAAAGTATGAACAGGCCTACTGTTTCATGTTTCCTCAGCATCAAATGCCTTCTATCATACTTCCTTCAAAAGAAGGTAATTCTAAATGTACGATAGCAATAGCAATAGCAGTTAGACTTATATACCGCTTCATAGGGCTTTCAGCCCTCTCTAAGCGGTTTACACAGTCAGCATATTGCCCGCAGAGTCTGGGTCCTCATTTCACCCACCTCGGAAGGATGGAAGGCTGAGTCAACCTTTTAAGCCGGTGAGATTTGAACCACTGAACTGCAGATAGCAGTCAGCTGAAGTGGCCTGCAGCACTGCACCCAAACCACTGCACCACCTCGGCTCTTGAAGACTGGACAGAAAAAAAATCTGCATATTCTGAGAAAATCTAAGGCACCCTTCTCAGTTCAGAATTAAATTACTGGGGGAAAACAATCTTCCTTTCAATGCTGAGATACCCTCTTGCAATAGTATTCAAATGTTTGACCTTGAGGTTACATATCACCATGCAACTAAGACAAGCTTTGGCCCTAAGTCTCTAATATAAGACTTTTTTCCTCTGCCAGAGATCCCCGAGTGCATTGGAGTTACTTCAAATACTCCTCTATGTAATGTAATGGGATGGTAGGTTCTGCGCTACTTACCATTCCACTTTTGAAGACATAGAGGCTGGGGTAGCTGTTGATTCCCTTACTCCGGCAAAGCATTCTGTTATCACCACAGTTGACGGCGCCAATGCGTATTAATCCATCCATTTCTTTAGCAAACTCTCTCCACTTCAAGTGAAAAAAAAAAGATTATTTTTTCAGCCTTTTTATCCCGTTTAGAAATGCTTAAAAATGATATGATTTCAATATCTGTTCCCTTAATTGTAACTCGAAGATAGCTTTGCTAGTATTGTTTACAAAAATCCACTTTTCCTTCTTAGGTTAGCTGAATAATTACATCAACCCCCCCACTACCCAGCACTTTCCTTACTCTTGTTCAACATCGCTACATGCTCTCAGATTGTCAAAGTGGCAGAATAATTTTTTGATATGACTCCTAGCAGAACTGTTTCAGAAAAAAATTGGTGGCAGACTGCAAGGCACTGCTTATATTCTTGCCAAAACATGCAATAAGCAGAGGTGGTATTCAGCAGGTTCTGACCAGTTCTGGAGAACTGGTAGTGGAAATTTTGAGTAGTTTGGAGAACCGGTAAACACCACCTCTGACTGGCCCAGCCCCCATCTATTCTCTGCCTCCCGAGACCCAGCTGATTGGGAGGGAATAGGGATTTTGCAGTAATCTTCCTCTGTAGTGGGGAGGCAATGGATATTTTACAGTATCCTTCTTCTGCCACACCCACCAAGCCACGCCTACAGAACTGGTAGCAAAAAAATTGAATCCCACCACTGGCAATAGGGATTCACATGGGCCAAACTGGAGACCATTGTATTGCAGAAATATAGTCCAGGTCCATGCCAGAAGGATGCAACTTCCTCTTATTCTCATGCCACAAGGAAAGTCTTCACTTACCCCTCAATCAGCCCTCTAGGATTCTATCCTCTCTGTCACACACACATATACACATAGAAACAGGGACATAAATTTAATGACAACACACCTACAGTGGCAACCTACCGTGGGTGCTAAATCATGGCAATGTGAACATCGAGGAGAATAGAAATTTACAAACCACAATTCTCCAGAACCAACAGCAGCATCTATCAACAAAGAAAGAATGATAATGAAAACATTATTTTCACCACTGGACAATTTCCAGGCAAGCATAATGGGAAGGAAGTGGGAGCAAGTAGATTATCCTAGTCTTCTTCTAAACCGATGTCCTTCAGCTAAGTAGGACTTTTCATGTCTTCCAGTCAACATGCTGCTGTTCTAGAGATGATGGGAATTGAAGGATAATATATGTGGAAGGAATTGATGGCCTGGTCACCATGGCTGGGTGGGTGGGCGTGGCTGGGCCCAGAGCAGCAGGGGCCGGTCCCTTGTTGTTTCCAGGATGGCCCACGGGCCAACTCTGTGGCCTATCGTGGGCAGGATTTGGTCTGCGGGCTGTGTTTTTGACACCCCTGGCTTATAGTATATAAATTAATTTAAATGGTCTTAAAATGAGACTGAAACTTGTAAGTTCTAGCTGAACAACAACTCCCATCATCCAGTTATGTGCCTTGTTGGTTGGGAAGGAATTCCCTCCCCTACTTTAAAATACACGATACATGGCTAATTAGATTTAAAGATGATCAGACCACCTCCACTGAAAGTTAGCCTATTTTAGAAACACTAATAAGAAATAATAAAGAGAGTGGAGACTTCATTTTTTTTATCTTCCTTGGAGGTCCCCAAAGCTGGGTACTTTTGAAAACTAAATGCTGGATTTGGCAGATCCTGCTACAATTCAATTAACTATTCTGGGAACATTAAGTAAACTGCCTGAAGAACAGGTCTCGAATTAATGCTACAAAAATGGTTGAAAACATTCCACCAACTCCATGGAAGTTCTTTTCCCTCGTTTCCCCTTTGAATAAAAGTTGAAGGGAACCTCGCTCTTTAAAAGTGGAACTGTGCAGATCCTGGACCAAAGGAAGGAATATATAGATAATGCCTGCCATCTCAATTATAGTTGCCCAGCACGGGAGAATATTTTGGCATCCCACTTCTTACAAATCATCATGCCAATTTATTAATCTCATGAATAACATGCTCACTTAAAAGTCAACCTAAGATGCATACCATATTCATTTGTCAGGGAAAAAATAAAAACAAAGGGAAAGAATTAATATTAATATGTCTACTGTAGGATGAAAACAGCATTATGGGCATAAAAGCATGAAGTATGAGCTTAGTGGTTAAAGTACTGGCCTAAAAGCAGGGAGACCAATGTTTAAGTCCAGGCTCAGTGACAGAAGCTCGATCATTATCACACTTTCTTTGTCTACTCAATCTGATAGGGTTGCTGATGTAGAAGAAAGAGGAGAGATTTGTGCCCCTTGACATCCAAAATGAAAGGCAGGATGTAATATACCCACTCCTGGTTTAGTAACCACCTTGATTAGCGACTATTCACAAATACAACATTTTAAAAAAAACATGTTACAACTAATGGATCCACATATGACCAAATTTCTACGCCCAACAATAACTGATGCCAGAGTGAGAATAATGCAAATATTGCCTCATCAGAGAATTTTATCTGAATGAAATGACAGCAAGCAGTGATCTTCACCAAGTGTGTATGTGTGTGTCTCAGTCACCTAATGGCCACTCAGTGTTTGTTTCACTTCCAATTTAATAATTGCAATCACTAAATGAGAGGGTGCAAATAAAAAAAAATTGAAGACCACCTCACATGGATTTTGAATAACATTCTGCTATCTGTACAGTAACAACAAAAAAAAGTCGTAAAAACAACACAATAAAGAAATTGGAAATAGCAATAGCACTTCAACTTATATACTACTTTACAGTGCTTTTACAGTCCTCTCTAAGCAGTTTACAGAGTCAGCATATTTCCCCCAACAATCTGGGTCTTCATTTTACACATCTCAGAAGGATGGAAGTCTGAGACAACCTTGAGCCTGGTGGGATTTGAACTGCCAAACTGCAGGCAGCCTACAGTCAGCAGAAGTAGCCTGCAGTACTGCACTCTAACTATTGCGCCACCAAGGCTCTTGCGGGAAAGCAGAAATGTTAGGAAATTACATGATCACATATGACTTACCAAATTCTCCTTTATCTAATGTTATGATTTCAGGATCATCATCATAGATACCTGGTTAAAAAAAGTACTCAGTTAGCATTTTTAGAAGTCCATTTAATCCAGCTATACAACATTTAAATACTAATAAACAGTTACTACTACTCTGCTCATATATACTTAAGAGACCATTAACCCATGAATAGCGAGGGGGGCTTTAGGTTCTAGTATTTCCTTTCTTAGAATATTTTATCATAACAAAATCTTAGCATAGAAACCTATCAATAATGACTATAATACATCTCTTTAAAGCAGGGAAGCTACATTTCATTCATAGATAGTGTACATTTTAATTTTGGGCTCAAGTGAAATTGAGTTTCATAGCTCATTCTGTCACACATGACAATATTGCCAAGCTTCTAACAGCACAGAACAATGAAAAAAAGATTCATCTCAATAATTTGGTTTATTGTCAAGAATACAAAATACAAAACCTTGGAAAGAAACCCCCACTCTAGCACTTATATTAAAACAATGTCTGAGACACACTTAAACCTCTTTTCCCCTTGTGAGACCAAAGGGCTAACCACCTTTTCCCCCAGATAAGACTCACACTGAAATATCCATCTGTTTATTATTAATGTTTTGAAATTCTCCCATTCCCCCCTACCCTCCCAGCAACAGAGATCCACCTTAAAGGGCAAGGAATGTTGTTTGCCGAGAAAGGCTGGTTTAAGAGCATGCCTCTGTCCCATTTTGTTATAGGATGCAGATAATTGAGAGTTGTGTGTATCAGGCCAGACATAAAGGCAAGTTACTTGCAGTAGGAATAGGGTATTTAGAAAATGTGTATGGTAAAACAAGAAAATATAGCATGAACAATAACTCTCAAACTCTCTGGTTATTACCTTTAAAGCCCTACATGGCTTGGGACTTGGATATCTGCGGGACCGCCTCCTGCCACATACCTCCCAATGACCCATAAGATCT